AAAGCGCTGATGTTCACTTCAACAAACCTTGGACTATGAAGTCCATTTCCTTCATGATGCTTCATCGTGCAGAACGTAAGAAACGGGCCAGGACCGGGATCTGTCATGCTTTTTGTACTTTCTATGTATTCTCCAATCTCCAATAAAAGTTGAACCTATGGGAGGATAACACCCCAACTTCGCACTCAAAACAATTTCATATTACCTATGTCTAGGTGCTAACCATAAGCGAGTTGGGGGGGGCGACGTTGGGAGACGAGACGAGACTAGGCCTCAACCAGCTCTTTCGTGTGGGAACTTCTCCTTCGGCGGAAGGATAACTATCTCTCCTGAGCGGAACGTCGCAGACGATAGGATAAAAATAAGAAAAATGACTAACCGTGCTCATTTCGTCACCGAAAAAGAATTTCTTGTCACCGAGCAGATCTCGATATGTACTGAAGTCCTTGTGTAGAAAACTCTCGAAATCTTCAACTGGGAACTGACCAATAGCAGCGGCGATGCGTTTGTTGGCCTGAATAGTTTCCGTCTCGAAATTTTAATGCTTTCAGACGGTCTTATTGGCCGATTTTTTCCTCTCATTTCATTACTTCCTGAAAGTTTTCTAGCGTCTTAGCTCACATCTGCTTAAGATGAGAAAAGGAATCCAAAGTTCAAACCTTTGGTCTGAGCAGCCATGCGGCAGGACGAACTAGAATGGGTAGTACAGCAGCCGGGCAACCAAGTTCTCGAAGAAGCATTTTCAGAAACTCATTCGTTCTTGTCTTCGATAGCCTTGAATCGGTACATCACGCTAAAGCAATAATTAAAAGTAATTAATTGTAAAGATTAATTAATTATTAAATAATTATTCTCAGCGCAATAAAAACCAATTTCCTGTAAATAAAATACATAATTAAGGACACATTCCGCGCTTATCGCATGGGCGGGATCCCGGACATGGTCATCGATACGCCGCTCCTAAAGTGGCTAAGAAAAGGGTCGCACCAACGGAGCAGTGTCCAAGTGGCTCCACCCATAAGATTAGCATGGAATGCGCGTTCAAAAAGGTAATAAAAAAGTAACCACAAGGCATGTATGATTTTTCTAACCATTCTCATCGATAGTTTTCTAGCGATAGCTTCCTCTCGTTGGCGATGCTAGCGGCTGAAGAGTTATTATGATTATTTCATTATTTGAAAGAAGAGTAGTTCAGTGGCTAGTTGGTATCGCACGCCACTTTCAGGCTTACAGAGGTATACTCCACCCCTGCTGACGCGACCTCTCTCAGACGTCCTATCACCTTCTTACTCTAAATTTTCCCTAAATTTTGTGGTGTGGGCAGAGTCACAGCGGCCCGTCAGAAATTAGCTGTGGAGTCCTAAGAAGTAAGGACTGGGTTGGAGACTATTAGCACACAGGTGCTGGCCAAAAATTAACCTAGCCAAAATAAATATTGAACCAGCCAAAATGTTTCATTCTGCGACGATGCCAGTGCTCCTGTCTTCCAACGTAAGCGGGCAAATCGCGCCCCCCCCCGTTTTGTTCTACACAACGTGATGCGTGAACGGTGCCGAGCCAAGGCCTGCTCTTTTTCGTCGCCCACTACGAGCTGCATCAGTGAGCAACAGAGTGGCTAGCTCCGCCCGCGCCCCAACGTACTCGTGGAATGGCAAGGAAGGTCTTTAGGGAAATAGATGCCATAGTCTTGGTAGCGTGAATTTCTTTGGATTCATACTGAAAAGCGAGTAATGCGGGGATCTCAAAAACTGAGGCCAAAGCTTAGCGGCTACGCTTTACCCTTACCTTCACATTGAAATGATCCTTGAGGCGATTGATAATGATCTGTGAATCGGCGATATGTTCCCCATTCAGCTCGACGAACGGTAGCAAGCCATTTTTCGATCGTCCCATCATAAGTGGGCATACCTACCAGAAATTGGATTGGCCCAATGTAACCGTTACAGCTACTTACCTTCAAAGGTTCCCGCTCAATGATTACACACCTCATAGGGTATCTTGTGGACCTTCATAAAGGTTTCCACTTTCAAGCAAAACGGAGATAAATTTGGTATCGTCTTTGTTCGAGGGAATTGATAGAGATAAACGGTGTCGGGCTTCCAGTCATGCTTACGTAGTTCAACCTGAAATCGAGCATTAGAATGAGGTCAGAGGGCCCCTTCCCAGGACATTTGTGACCTTCGGCGGCATGATTTGTCAGCTACTGACGTTCGCCTACTGGTAACGAGAGAAAGTGAAAGTCAAGGTCTTTTACGTATATAGCAACTTTCCACTCTCAAAAGACAATTTTCTTGCTGCTGACTCCCAACTTACGACAACTTTCTTCAAGGGGCCACCAAAGATCAATTAATTACCTGTTTTTTGTTCTTTCTGAAGAATAGAAAGTACGCAATAACACTGCCAACAGTCAGCCATACAGCAATACAAGAGCAACAGAGCATGGTTGCAGGTGTGTGAACTGAAACCGAACCGAGAACTTTGGTCGCTACGCGTGAAATAGCACTCACGTTGTGTTATCATCATTTCGTCAGTGCTCCGCCTATCTCGTCGCACAAAGTTTCTTTCGCAATGACACCTGTGATGCAAGTTGCCGAGGGGGAAAGGGGGTG